ACCTCAGGACCATTATTGACAAATAAGTCTCTATACTCTTTTATTTATTTGGTGTGTGTGTGGGGGGGGATGACTTTGAGATGTAAAAACACATCCTTTACTTTGACCTATCACGGGAGAGCACAATAGAAAGTGGATAATATTTTTAGCACAATACCAAAGGCCCTATGCTGTATATGTAGAAATCCATTATTTTTGTCAAATTACCAGACTGGGCACTCTGTTTCTCTGTGGAACTATTTATCAACGCTTTCCTTTGCTAACAATCTCCTAAGTAAGCAAGTTGGCTTTCTCACATAACCCTTACAATAATCTTAGGAAGAGAGTTTTCTCTCATTTTAAGATTTATAAAACTGAGGCTTAGAGTGATGAGAAAACTCAGCTAATAAATGATGAGCCTATGATTTGAACTTAGTTCTCTGTGTCTCCAGAGTCCAAGCTTTCGTTTTGCTGCATGCTGCCCCTCCCAATAAGTGAGGGCGTATTTCTGAAAACAGGTACTAACTAAGTCATGGTGCTTTTAAACTTTAAAACTCATAAATAAGAAGGGCTTGGCTGTCAAGACTGGCAGGAATCTGTAATTTCAGGCAGTATCCACTTTATAAATGACCAGAGATTTGACAGTTTATTTATATTCCTGTTGTTTGGGACTCAGGCCATGTTTTTCTCCAGACTCAATGTGATTCATGGGCACATGTGTCTAGGCTAGTTCCCAGACACCTATATTAACTCATAGTTTTAGGCCTGAGTATAGGAATCAAGGAAAAAGAATCATGGTAGAGATTGTAATCCTGTACCGACTGGTGTCCCAGGCTCATTCTGCCTTATGCTCTGGCCCAAAGTTGCTACATACAAGATCTCTGATCACCACCTCCTGAGCATTTCAACTGAAGCCTCCAACTCCTCAATCTAGCTCATTTTATGCGGGAATACGTACAAAAGCAATCCGATTGAACTGCTTTGCAATGATATAATTCTTTCCTAAGAAAATCTGTGCTATTCCCTATGGCAGGCTTAAATATGTTCTCTATATAGTTCATTTTATTACAGTGCAGTTGTCGTCCACAAAAATACTTAGAGTAGCCCGGGGAGTTAGGTTATTCTATTGATCACATTTACTTCTTGCAGAAAGATGAAGTTTAATATGGAAAGGCATAAGTAGGAACTTGAAGGACAGTCAAGTGGAGAAACAAAAGGTAATCAGACACATATCTGGAGGCTATCTAATCCAATTGTTAGGAGATGGGGTTGCATTTGTAGTTTGTAAGATGGGAATGATCTGGAAACACAAGGCATATATTATAAATCTGCTCTGAACCATATAAACCAGAATTTGGTTTAGGAAATGAAATCTGTTCTGGATATTTTAAGCAGGAAGAAAGTTTAATACATAAAATCAAACTGAATTTTGCTTACCAAAATTGTGGTGGGTGTTGGGGGAGCTGGCTGTAGCTCTGGGCATCCAGGTATGACTTGCAGGACACTACAGAGATGGACCACTATGAAAGCTACCACCTCTGGGGCCACTTGAGTCTACTGAGCCCAAGAAGCCATCACTATAGCTCTGCACAGGGATAAGGAAGGGAACATTGGAAGTGGCTACCCTGGCTGGCAAGGCCAATGCTAAGGACAGAGCTGTCTTTAACACCTGGGAAGCTGGAAAGCAGACACTGGCGGGCTGCTCAAAATAGCCTGACCATCACATCTGTTTCATCTGGCATCACCAACTTCATACAAGTATATATGTGAAGCAGAAAAGGAAGTGTAGTTTGAGCTTCAGAACCTCTGATGCACAGCGAAGCACTCTAGATTCACGTGGTCCACTAGGATTTTCTGTGCTGAGAGAAATGCTAGCTACGCTATCCTGCCAGACATGGCTAGTGAGCATTTGAAATGTGCCCAGTGCAACACAGGGATGAAATTTTAAATTTTACGTAGGTATTTAAATTTGAATTGCTACATGTGGCTACTGGCTGCTAGGAGGGTATGATGGAGGGTGAGTGGGCCAATCCATGGTTTCCATAACACTGATTATAATCCTTGCATATCACTGTGGAAGATGACCTCATGGCCTCTATTTCCTTGCCTATACAACAGGAAATATACTTGAAAGGGAAATATTATGATAAAGTAGGTGGGAAACAGTTGATAGCTGGTAATGACTGCAGCACAGTGAATACCAAAAAGCTGGGGTTAAGATGGAGTGAGAAGGATATACTAGAAGATGAATATGAATACACATAAAACCAGGGTCTGACATGATATTCTTGACATTGAAGAACATTACCAATTGCACTTTTCCAAGGAGAAGCCTGCTAATAAGTACTTGAGTGAACCTGGCTTCTCTTTTAAGCCCCATGTCCACATGTTTCTCTACTAGATAGCTTCACTTGGATGTTCAACAGCATTCTCAACTGCAACTCATCCATCCACCCATCCAAATATTCACAGACCTCTATTATGTGACTGCCATATGTTTGGTACTAAGCTAGGAACCTGGAGTATAGTGCTATGTAAAACAGAGAATACTTCTCTCAGGGCTTACAGTGTGTGAAAAAGAGTAGTATCTAGAAAAAACAGACAGAGCGGAATAACAGAAACAGAAGCCTAGCTTTGCTGCCAGTTCTGGCAGAGTCTCATCTTATGGTTGGGAAAGGATCAGGTGTCTTGAGTCAAGGCTGTTTCAGGTAAGGAAATAATTCAGGGTTTAAGGAAGTCTTAGAAGTTTTAAGGTTATTTTCCAAGGGGTGTTGTGCTGTTGGCCTCTTCATCTCTCTTACATTATCCCTACTGTTGCTCACAAATGAATTTTGTTGGGTGATTATGAAGGAGAGGTTGTTCTTCTGGCCAGGTTAATAGAAGGTGGGAAAGTGAAGTTGAGAATAAAGGAAATCTTGAAAATGTAAATTCTTAGGAACTGGCCAGAATTCTTGGAGAGCTTCAGACTTTCAAAGGCAGGGTCAAAGCTGAGAAGACCAAGGGCCAAAGGGCAAACAAACCAGTGTCAGGGTTGTAGGGGAAATAAAGGCAAAACTGCACTATAGTATACTTATAATTTTATAATAGACAGATAAATTAGGTAGAAATAATTATAGGCAGTCAGAAAGGGCTAGGGTCTGGAGGAAGTTAGTGCAGAAGATGAGAACACATCAAAAACAGGCTAGAGGCACACCTAAAGATTTAGATACGTCCCTAAGGGAAGTTTAAGACTACTAGTACCACCCTTTTGAGATTTTCCATATAAATAAACCATTATCTCATTAGGGGCCTACCATCCTTTCCCACCAACTACAGCTAAGACTAGTACTAGGACTACTAAGACTAAAGATAAGACTGAGACTGTAGATCATCAACCAAGGTTGATAATGTCATCCATATGCCCTTGCTACTACTGGATCAACACTAGCCAAGTGGCATCCTTGTAATCTTATTGGTTGATTATAGTTTTGACCCATGTTGTACCCACCTCATGATTTTGCTCTATAACTTTCTCAGAGGAGTGGATTCACTGGCAACCCGCTTGGGACCACTCTTGTCTCTCAGGAGCTATTCCTGTTCTCCAGTAAAATTTCCACTCTTAACCTCCGTTGTGCCCTAGAATTCATTCTCTGATTTTGGTGAACATGAACTCAGCGTATCTGATATCTAGCAGGTTGGGAGTTGTATATTTTCTCCCTATATTAATTTGCTGAGAGGATGAATTTCAAAAATAGTAAAACCCAGAAAAAGATGGAAGGATCTAGAAGGCCTATCTATGGGAGATGGCATGCTAGGTTGGATGCTGTGAAGAGGAAATGTGGGTCTGCTTTCCTGTTTGTGGGCTCTTCTTACCCTTAGGAACATTGTCTCTGTCCAGAGCTTCATAATGTGGGTCTAGGACTCTAGTGCCCTAGTGTGTGAGGTGGTCTTGCTATTCAAACAAGTTTTACTCAAGACATCTTGCAAATCTTGTGCACTAGTTTCATCTATACTTTCTGTGCAGTGTAGGGGGCTCCTTTTGCTCTTACTCTACTGTTTATGGAGGAATCAACATACTACCACAACTGGAAAAACAGACATACCAGTTTGGTGAGGGAATCCCAGGGCCAGACCTTAGTAAAGTTTGACTTTTTCCTTGACCTCTTTTCACCTTTTAAGAATCACTTATGCTGACATGAAGGCCACCTAAAACGAAAACTCTCAGGAATGATTCACACTTCAGGGAGAACAGAGGAGGCATAGGAGTTAAAACAAAGGTCACAGAACCACTATCTGGGTGTGACAGAGGGCTCGAGGATAAAACTGTGATCACAAAGATTCACTGGCCCAGGACCAATCCAGACAGTTCAGGGTATCTGTAGGAGAACTTCTTGTTCATCAGTCACAGTCCCACCAGAGATGTCACTGGGGCAAGGTTTTCCTTTGCATTAGGGCTGATAGGAGAACAATGCACTAAGCCTTTGAAGGGCTCAAGTCAGACAATGGAGCCCAAACCCTGTCACTAGCGTCCACGTCCTATGTGACAGAGTACACACACCTTTGCAGCTCTAGGAATCTGTGTCTTTTATCACAAGAAGTAAGGGAGTTAAAAAACCCAATTGACTATTATATACATTTTTTGGTACTGGGAATTGAACTCCAGGCCTTGCATTTGCCACGCAGGCACCACGCTACTAAGCCACATCCCCAGCCCTTTTCAAAGAAGGAATAACACTGGTATCCACTCTAAAGTGGATAATAGGGATGGACCACAAAGCTGTATTTACTCAGTATAGAAAATCAGATTATCCATAAATAGTGAGTGCCTTCAGCTTGACGAGAGGGGGAGAATGCGAATTGGGTCCCAGCCACTTGCTCTACTCTTTCAAGATCTGTGCAGAGTCAAAACAAGGAACAAAGACATGGCATTAAGAGTAATGGTTTTCCTAATAAATGCTGGACTGCCCACAGTTAATTTTCATCTCATCTTTCCATGAGGGAAGACATCCATTTTTAGAGCAGGTCCCTATTAGAAACAGGTCTCAGAGGGGAGGTCTACAGGAAGCTTGGTCTGCCAATCCAAGAAACACTGAGCTGAGCTGTGAGTTTTGTCCACTAGGAGGCAAACTGTGGGATATTGGAACCACCTTTAGCTTTCAAGGCAGAACTTTCATCCTTATTTTGGACAGACTGTTTAACTCCCCCAAGGTTCAGGCTCGTCCTCTAAGGTAATAGCTGATTTCCACACCTCACAGGGTTGTCGCGAAGGTTTCTTGAGATAATGTCTGTGAAAGGCTCTACTGTTAGAGTCACGGAACATTTCATCTTTTATAGTGACTGGTGCTTTCAGAGTCTATAGTCTCCTGAGAGTCTCCCAGAGAGGGTCATCCCACTAAGCCTGTTAAAATATTACTTTACTCCTCTCTTCACATTTCACCTAGGCTCTTGGTTTCCCAGATGGGAGAGATTGACCAAAACAATCTGAGGTGGGTGGCAGGGGACGCACTTTCCTGATGCACAGGCCATTAACGTTTTTCTCCTTCTCCTGTATCTCTTCTCAGGATGGTTAGTTAGTTTCAGAGCCCAGTGCAGTATGGGGCTGACCTTGGAGGGGAAATACCTAGGAAAGAAATGTAGAACAAAGTCTTAGGGTGAGGGATAAGAAACACTGTGGGATGTGGGAGAATGGCTCAGCCCCCATCAGAGCTCTCTTAGTTTCAGGTCATTTCTCCTGTCTTCTAGAGTCCCTCGTACAAACTCCCTGTTAGAAGCATTTGTGGCAACCATTTTGGCAAGAGTCCTGTGTGAGTTAGGCAACATGGTGGCTGTGAAAACTGACACTGCGTTGTTTTGGGGAGCCTGGGAAAGATGCTGCTGCCTTAGAGGTATCACATTTAACAGAGATGTATCAACAATTCAAATCTGAGTCCCATGGATCATCTTATTCTCAGCCTTTGGTCTCTTACTATGCTATCGGGACACCCATCTCTGGATCCCTTTTCTGAGCCTTTTACCTCTACTTTCTATCTTCTCACTGGATGCTACAGAGGCCCCAGTTCCAGTCCCTCTACTGACTAGAACACACTGGCCTCTTCAGAGCCTGTTGACCCCCTTTGCCCCCCTGTCAAGTACCCCACAGAAGCTCACCGTCCTTCCCTAAATTATTACTGTCTTATGTGCTCTTATTAAGTCTAGCATCTTATCATCACTCCTCATCCCAGTCTTTGGCTTTCCCTTTGGGAAAATTTGGTTGGAAGAACCCAAGCTTCACAAAAGTTTTTGAGTTTGTTCTGCTTGAGCCTGAAACCTTCCTATGTACGTTTTGACAGGGGATTTTAGAATTCTATTCGTTTAGCTTATTACAGCATTCGTCATGTCAAAATCACTTCTTACTTCTTAGCTGAGTAATATGTTACCAGTAAAAAGCTAACAACTTACTTAGGAAGTTAGCTGACTAATCCCAAGAAATTGATTGCAAAGGAAGCTGAGGGGAATAGGAGAAGGTAAGCACAAACTCGACAGACAGCATCACTGCATAATTTAGCTATATCAAGAACAAATGGCAGCCTGAGGCTGAGCTGCCAAAGAGTAACTAAGGCTGTGAAAAACAGTATGAAGCGTACAGACGTGAGCCTGGTTTATACCTTGATCTTCAAGAGGTGTGGATTTACTGCTGTGTTAGTGGTTAACAGTACCTAGTATTGTCCTTCTCACTCAGTTAATAGAGAAGACAGGTCAACAGATTAGAGCTGAAGTGGGCAAAGAGGAGAGAACATGAGGAAAAAAAAAATAGAAAAAAAGCAAATGCTGGAATGAAAGCATGGTAGTCTGTGGTTCTGGTCATTTTGTTTGGCTCTTCATGAAATCAACTTGGTCCTGATAGGTTAGGTGCAAGGAGCCTCTGCCTGCAGTCATCTGCTTTGGGAGGATTCTTTGGCATCCCCAGCTTGAGGTTTCTGCTAGGACAGCCTTCTCATGTTTGGTACATGTGTATAACACACCTCAATTCCTTTTTTTCATCCCTTTCCCCTTCCCTCTTTCCCCCATCTCTTAATCAATCTATCGCCCTACTTTTTTAGTATACATCTTTCATTTTGCCCTTTAGTTTTACTCTGCATTTCTCATCTAAGAGGAACCATGAAGTACTTAAACTTGTGTGACTGATTTATTTCACTTAACTTACGATCTCAAGGTCCATCTATTTTCCCACAAATGACCAAAGTTTATCTTTCTTTAAGGCAGAGCAGTACTCCATCGTGTGTAAATAACATGTTTTCTTTACCTTTTTCCTCTTAGCAGTGCATGGTTAGTAGAAATAAGTAACATCTTCCTATATGGAAAGGAATAAAACCATTTATTACAGTTGTGGTATTTCTTTTTTATACATGTTTTATTGGTGCATGTTTGAGGTATATGATTCCACTTTTTGTGGGGAATTAGTACATGTACATAACATATCTCAATTCTTTTTCCCCCTTCTCTCCACCTCCCTTTTATTTTGCTAGCATCAGATTCATTTATTTATATGTCCTTAGAAAGCCAATTATCATATATAGAGATTAGCAACCAGACTGAAAAAAAAAAAAGGAAAGCACATAAGACAATAATGCTAAATCAAGTTACACTTTTAGACATAGTGTCCGTGCTAGATTACAATGACTTTTTCTTTTTCCCCTCTTGTCTGTGCTTTAGTGTTGAGTTTTTTATATAATAGAAACCGTGAGATATTTAAGCTTATGTGTCTGATTTACTTTAACATTATGGTCACAGGATGCATCCATTTTCCTATAGACGACTGAAGTTTATTCTTCTTCACAGCACAGTACTTCTTCACTGTGTATAAACACATTTTCCTTGTCTATTCCTCTGTTGATGTACATAGAGGCTGTTTCCCAAATTTGTCTGTTATGAATTGTGCTGCTATGCACATGGGTGCGCATGGATCATTGTGATGTGATGTCTTTAACCCTTTCTGGAAAATGCCTAGAAGGGAAAACGTGGATCAAATGGAGTTTCTACTTGGAGTTTTCTGAGGAATCTCCACACATCTGTCCATGCTGCCTGTACAGGTTTACATTCCCACCAGCAGTCTCACAAGGCTTGATGGCAGTTTTTCTCTGAGGTCTGATTCAGTAACTTAAAAAATAGGACATTCGTTGTAAGGTTGTTCGAGATAATATTATTAGAATAGAGAAGAAATAAAATATTTTCACAATTGAAAAGAAAAATCTGTTATCTGGACACAAAATAACTTGGTCAGTTTGTGGAAAATAATCACTATTTTTAGTTTTCTTTTCTTTTCTTTTTTTTTTTGGTTTCACTATGTAGTTGAGACTGATCTGGAACTCACTATGTAGCCCAGGCTGGTCTTGAACTCACAGCGATCCTCCTGCCTCAGCCTTCCAAGTGCTGGGATTATAGGCGTGCGCCATCACACCTGGCTCTATTTTTACTTTTTTGTGTACCATCTGTGTTATGCAGAAAAAGTTTTATAAGTTTATTTTTTAGTTAATACACCAACTTACCTTGAATATATCCTTAATTTTGTTTTCTTAACAAGTATATAATTAAAAAATTGTTAATATAACTTTAGCCAGAGAGACATATACAAACAATAGTAGTTTTAAGACATAATTTTGTAGGATATTAAAATAAATATGATATTACATTGAATTGCTATTCCAATAAAGTAATTCTTAATAAGCAAATCATATTGCTTATCTTGCATACACATTCATACTTTTCTGTAATTATAATACATTTTTATAAATTACCACAATTAGTCAAGACAACCAATTTTTGTTTTCTCCAGAAGCACAAAGAAAATTAAAAGCAAAAAGCCAAGTGGTGACTGATTATATTGCTTTCTTTTGTGGTTCCAGGGATCATACACAGGGCCTTGCACATCTCTTAACTAAGTTTTATGAATATACATTTTAGATTACTTTTCACATTTTTTTTTTGGTACCCGGGATTGAAATTGGGTTCGCGCGGTTGCTAGGCAGGCCACCGAACCACTGAGCTAAATCCCCGGCCCCTACTTTTCACATTTTAAGGAGGCAGAGTTAATATATCATCCAAATACACTTACATATTCTATTAACTTATAGGCCTTATAGAAAGTATATGAGTAAGAATAAAGTCAAACTATAACTATATATATATATATATAATATATATATATATTTTTTTTCA